AACTGCTGCCATCACAGACTAGGACCTTTAAGCCAGACATGGCAATCTGTGCACAGAACACCAGGGGGAGGAAGACTCACTCTTACATCAGCCACACTGAGCATTTATATCCTCTCCCAGCATGCATCACTGGCCTGTACCTTCCAGTGGTTGGCTAAGAGACACAAATGCTCAGAACAATCCTTATTGGCTGCTCTGTGGCAAAAACACAGCCAGCAACAGGCAGATGCGGCATCCACAGATTGTTCTGAAGAGATGAGAGGAACATACTGTAACTACAGATCTATCTCAGACCAACTACAGTCTGAGAAGAACTACATTTCACAGCACTCCTGTTTACAGCGCGCTACACTTCAATGGATCCATCTTGTCTTCCACACGCTGCAGGTTTCCAGTGCCAGAGGGTGCAAAGCAGCCCCAGAGCATCACCGAGCCACCACCATGCTTCCCTGTGGGCAGAGTGATCTTTTCCTCGTATGCTTCTTCTTCCTCCAGACATACCGCTGATCCATCGGGCCGCAATGTTCCAGTTTTGTGTCATCGCTCCGCAGAACAGAATCCCGAAACTTCTCCGTCTTATTTATATGATTTGGAGGATATTGGAGGCTCAGGCAACTTCTCTTGTGGTTTTGGGGTCAGTGGTGGTGACGTCTCGGAGTTCCGGCATGGAAACCTTCTATGTTTAGTACTCACTGTGCAAACTGAAACCTCATTGCCTGGGGCCACCGAGCCTTCTGCAGCTCTTCTGTAGTTACTCGAGGGGTTCTCCTCAACTCCCCTTCTCAGGAATCTCAGATTTGTCCTCTTGTGAGGGATTCTATTCAGGGGGTGAATCATTCTGAGACTGCAGAAGTCACTAAAAGTTGTATTTTCGGTTGAATTTTGGGAAAATACGGGAAACATTCGTTGTGTTGACCGATTTCAATGGCTTTGGTTTGATTTGTTCATTGCTACAGCTGAAAGTCTGTAAATGTCGCCAATAAACCTGATTTGTAATGGGGGAGGGGGAATCATTGTGATGACAACTGCATGTGAGATCCAGCAGAGGACCTTCTCATGTAATGACCTCACTGGAAATCTCACATTGTGTGACCAAAACACAGAAGAATGCGTCATTGTCGTCTCTTCTCTGCCTCAGATGCTGCCGGAGAATCAGCCGACGCCGAAGTCACTTACAGCAAACTTACTCTGCACCGCGTGCCTCAAGGTAATCCCAGCGCAGGAGCTCCTGTAATGGTTTAATGTTTACAGATTCATAAGTCATTGACCGCATAGAGCAGTGGTCCTCAACCTGTAGGTCACAACCCACTGTTGAGAGGGTCACCACATGCTTTGTGCTGCGCTAGGTGAGAGGTTCCTCAGCCACCTCCTATCTTGACCCCCCCTAGCCACCACAGAGCTCGCAATGACCAACACACTGGCCACCAGAGAGCCCACACTGGCCACCAGAGAGCCCATTGACCACGAGAGAACCCCATTGAGCTCACATGAGCCCACACTGGCCACCTGAGAGCCCACACAGATACTAGTATTGGTGCATTCCTAAATTTTACCTTTGGAGGTCACCACAACCTGGCAAATGTTACGAAGGGGTCCCAGCCCTAGAGAGGTTGAAAACCACTGACATAGAGCATCGACCTGCTTGTAAGCTCCCTTTGTCTAATTGACACCTCAGATGAAGCCTTCCTATAACGGAGGGGTCGGCTCTACTGGTCTCGCTCCTACAACACAGAGCCCACACTGGCCACCAGAGAGCCCACACTGGCTACAACAGACTCGACATTACAAACACA